GTCGCACTAAAATCTTGTATTTGGGTCATAAGGTATTCGCGGAAGGGATTAGGCCTGAAGATGTAAAGGTGGCTAGCATTAGAGACTGACCACGCCCCCAGTCTGTGACTGAGGTCAGATCATTCTTGGGAATGTGTGGTTATTACCGCAATTTCATACAAAACTATAGCACAATCGCATTTCCCTTGACTGATCTAACGCGTCTTGACACTCCACGGGAATGGACAGACGAATGTGAGGCTGCCTTCAAGAGACTGAAGCAATCCCTTACAGATCATGAGGTTCTCATGGTCCCCGATCCGCAAAGGTCATTTGTAGTGACCACCGACGCAGTGTTAGCTCAGCCAGAAGGGAAGAAGTTAAGGCCGATCGAGTACATGAGCAAGAAGATGTCATCGAAAAAGTTGGGGAAGTCGACCTACGAAAGGGAACTCTATGCCCTCTGTAAGGCACTTGTTCACTGGAGGCACTATCTGTTGGGAATGTTCTTCTACTTGAGGACAGACCATCAGACACTCAAGTGGACCAAGACACAACCGGTTCTCTGTGATGCACTCAAACGTTGGATTGAAGTCATAGATCAATATGACTTCAAGCTAGACTATGTGAAAGGAGATTATAACAAGCTTGCCGATGGATGTCACGTAGGGCAGACTACCTGGGTGCGCTAATCACAAAGTTTGGCTTATCTGACGATGTATCTCAATCCTTGGTGGAAGCTTACAAGGAAGACCATGTCACGATGGGCATCATCTGCGAACTTGAGGCCAAAGATAAGGCCACCTCTGATGAGTTTGTGATGGTGGATGGGCTGCTCTTTCTTGAAAAGGCTGGGTTCAAACGGTTAGCAGTTTCATCTAGGGAAGCTTTGTGTGGTTTATTTTTATGAGAACGTCATGCGGCAACAGGGCATTTTGGCTACAAGAAAAGATAAGGCCACCTCTGATGAGTCTGTGATGGTGGATGGGCTGCTCTTTCTTGAAAAGGTTGGGTTCAAACGGTTAGCAGTTCCATCTAGGGAAGCTTTGTGTGGTTTATTTTTAGGAGAACGTCATGGGGCAACAGGGCATTTTGGCTACAAGAAGACTTCTGCTAACTTAGAACACCGATTTTGGTAGGCTAACATGCTTGACGATGTCAAGAAATACGTGCAGACTTGCCAAGTCTGTCAGCGGAACAAGCCGCTGACTCAAGCACCATTTGGGTTATTGAAGCCTCTTCCCATTTCTGCTGGTCCGGGACAGCGTTTCCATGGATTTCATTGATACCGTCATAACCAGCAAGAATGGTAAAAGGCATATCTTCGTCATAGTGGATAGGTTCACTAAGTACGCAAGACTAATTGCCATGTCGGAGACTGCCAGGACTGAGCACGTCATCAAGTTATTCATGGATAACTGGGTGCGTGATTTTGGACTGCCCAAGACCATTGTTAGTGACAGAGATGTCCGGTTTACCAGTAAGCTGTGGAAGAAGGCCTCTGAACAGATGGGCAGCCAGCTTCAAATGACTTCTGGGAATCATCCCGAAGCCAATGGGCAGGCTGAACAGATGAACCGTGTGGTGCAGCATCTGCTTAGGCATTATATCAAGCCCAGCCAGGATGACTGGGATGAGAAGTTACCTCTCATCGCTAATCTGTACAACAATGTTGTACATAGCACCATCGGCGTCAGTCCTAATCAGCTACATCTGGGGTGGAGGCCCATATCTGCTCTAGACTTCCTCCTGGCTGAAAACCGAACTGCTGCAACTCCTGGAACCATCGAGTTGAGAAGTTGTTGCAGCAGACTGTCGAACACATCAAGAAATCTCAAGAACCAATGATTGCTTATGAGAATAAGCATCATCGACAATCCACATTTCAAGTAGGGGAACGTGTCTGGATCAAGGCTGGTGAGTTTGGACAGGAGTAATGCCTCAATATTTCGGTCCCTGGGAAGTCTTGGATATTGTGGGTAGTGAAGAGGATGGTCCCTCGTACGTAATTCGTATCCCTGGTCACCTACACACTTACCCTGTGTTTCATGCCTCAAAGCTTGCACCTTTCGCTGAGACAGAACAGTTCCCATCAAGGAGATCTATACTGCCCCCAACCGTGAATGCTCACGTGGACGTCGACGATATCCTGGAGCACAGAAACATGCATGTTCCCAAACCAACTGGCAGGGGTGGACCGACTAAACCTGTGAGACAGTACAAAGTACGGTTCAGGCATCATACTGATCCTAAGGAAGATCGATGGTTTACAAAGGAGGAACTTGTCAAGACAGCTCCTCAGATTGTGGCCGAGTATGAAAGAAAATTGAAGGGGAAGGCACCAGCACAAAGCATCTCAGCGGACTTTCGAAGCTAAGGCGGATGGATGCAAGGAATGAGCCCTCACGGGACCCTTATCAGACATGCACATGTTCTGGGCAGAGGCCCCCAGCAAGCCAACTGCCTGCCCTAAGTGAAGGCGGGCCTGAATATTCACCAGAGGCCAAAATTCGAAATTTTTCATACGTGGGTGCTCAGGCTGTTGCAGCCCCCCAGTTGGTTGAATGGACGCGTGAGCCTCCCTAAGATGCGTCGAACAGTTTGGCCCAGGCCGTGGCAGTTGCGCCTGGGCACATACACAATGCAGGGCAGATACATCACGAAGAGGCCACAGGCCTACACAAAAGCAGCATTGTCGACGTACATACCCCGGGTCCTGTGCCAATGCAGCAAACGGCCCAAGTCCGAAGACTCAGGCCGTGCACGAAGTGGCCACAGGCCCAGGCCCTCAACTGTAGCATTGGCCCTGGGCGCAGGTACCGGGGCCTGACCGGAGGCTACTGGAAGCTTACCAGCCAGGCCACACGCAGCCAAGCAGGGGCTGCCACTTCCATATAGGAAGGAGGGCAGCCAGGGGCAGGCATTCTGGCCCACGCAGGCAATGCGGTCACACTGCTGTGCTGCTCCGTTAGAGGCTGCATGCTGCGTTGCGCCCAGGGCGCTAGCGGGGCGCACGAGAGGTGAGAGGGGCGCTTCTGGGCAGCGGAGCGCTAGCAGCCATAGCCGGGCTGCAGGTCGCTAGGGAGTAAGAGGGCGATCACCGGTCTTCAGGAAGGAGGCGAGCGTGGGTGGACAGGGTCTGATGAGGGGAGACGAGATACGTACCTGGTACGTGAGAGAGGTCGGCTATGGTGTTGACGTCATGTACATTGGTCTTCGACAGTCGAAGTGAGCCTTTTGCGAGAATGCTGATGTAGGTAGGATAGGCGAGTAGTGTAGGCTGGGCGCTGGGCGCCAGACAGAGAGGAGCAACTTTGGATACTGTGTTGGTGTGGCCTGAGGGCTTGAACATTGGCTCATCACTTCATTGTATTACTCTCATTTGGATGGAATATCGGTGCATGTGTGCTCTCTGCTTGTACACGACTACTTGAACATCTGTGTGATTTTGCAACTTGGCTTTCTGTATATCGCTCCCACTCATATTCCTTGCAATGCCTTCTCATGAGAATGAATGACTTTCCAAACGGGTGTTCTTAGAGTGATGATGAGTGAGAAAATTGCACATATTCTTTGAACACATCGGGTGCATTTGTTCTTAAAGTTAAACTTGGCATAGACCCTGCATGTGAGGGGGTGTGTTGCTTCATCACAATGTCCTTGGTGTTATAGGCGAAGGTCGGCCTACACCACAGGCAATCTCCTCTTGCACGTTAGACCAGCGGCACGACTAGCTATCATCTCTCGACGACGGAGTAGGGTAGGGGGAGTGCCGTGTGGGTACGGAAACTCTCAACAGCCAATGATAGATCCTGTTGTTTGTTACCCACGGGACGCCGTGCCGAATGTGCTGTGAGGGGTTTATGGTGCCAAGATCATATTGTACTAAGTCTGTGCCGTGCGGAACCTGAGAAGACGAATATTGAAAAGACGTGCACATTCGTGCGGTATCACGAGGTAGAGAAAGGGGCTAAGAGGGGGAGGTGTTGGACGCCCTAGCCGACTGTTCACCTCCAAGGCGTGGGAGATCAGTTTCCGGTGGCCTTGGTTACGAGCAGGTTCGCAAAGGTGTTCACCATTGCTTACACTACAGCGACGAATGAGCAAATGCCCTCGGCCTTACCATTGCTTGCACTACAGCCACGAATGAGAAAACGCCCTCGGTCTTACCATTGTTTACACTACAGGGATGAATGAGCGAACACCCTCGGCCTATGTACCTCTATCGCAACAAGTAAAAGCTGTTGCACGTGCATCGGTAGCTGGGTGGGGATATGCCCCCAAGGGTGGTGACACTTGGGTATCGGAACCTTGCCCGGTCGGCCCTATCCTATCATAGGGCTAGGCGTGACGTGAGCTGGTGCATGCCGTCGGAGTGCTGAGCTGTTTAAACAATCACTATGTTTCCCAGCCATTTTGCAGGAATGCACTGCGCATGCAGGCGCATCGTGCCGGATGTACCGGGGTGCCGTTTCGCCCGAAATCCGTCAAGGCAAATCGGGCCACTCATGCTACCCGTTTTGCCTCGATGGATTTCGGGCGAAACGCCACCTCGGAACATCCCGCCCAATGCGCCTGCATGCATGGTATGTTTCTGCAAAATGGCTGGGAAACGTGCTGGTGGTCCAAGTGCACTCTGCACACTTAGCACTCCTGCATGACACAACCGGGGGGGCTTTTCTCTGAGGAGGGAGCCGATGTGCTTGACATCATCGGACTAAACACACAAAAGTGTCAGAACCCCACACACTCAGCCACAAGCACGCACACACGGGCATTCAGATGCCCAGACACACAGCACGCTGACTCAGACAACAGAAGTCTAGCAAGAACCCAGAACAACAGCAAGAGCGCAGAAAAGCATAGGATTCACAGTCTGCAATTTCCAGGTTATTACACCCATCTGCGGCCACTACTTTGCCAGGTTCCTAAAGGATCCGCAGAGGCAAGCTAACTTCAAAGCATATGTGCAATTTTGGAGGGCTTTTTTAACAGCAAAACTGGAATCCAAGCTGCAGACTGACAGGTCACTGCAACCAAAGGGATTGCATCTGTTTGAAAAGCCTCTGAATGGGACTTCAACAGGAAAAAGAACATTATCCTGATCATGAGAATAGCTCGAAAACATGAAAGGGAACAGCCTGCAAAGCAAATGCTGGACTTACAGGAATGAAGAACTCCGCCATAGGCTCAAATGCAAATCGCAACTCCTTGGCTAGAAAATTTAGCAGCTGACATGTCTATTCAGGTGTCACACCAACGATTGATGGAGTTAGCCACAGTCTACATGACAGCCACACACACAAGCAATTTTACAGAGTACCACTGTCTGCATCCATGCAGCCCGAAGCAAATTTACAGAGTACCACAACAAAGCAAATGAACGATGATTCTTAATTTCTTATCCATCTAGCCTAAGCAAGGCCACAAAAAAGGCCATCAAACAAGGAGTTCGTGAACATGACAGCCACACACTTGTTATGCTCCTCGCCATCTTGAAGTGCAATAACTCGAAGAAAGACAATGCCGTTCAATTGCAACTGAAATGAAAGAACGTGGAAAGAGAAATAGATGCAAAGAATACGAGCGAGAGCGATTGACAGAAATCCAAGTTGCAAAATCACGAAGTAGCCCAGATAGTCATGTACCAAGCAGAGAGCACAATGCACCAAGATACCGTCCAAATAAGAGCAATACAATGAACTCATATGTCAATGTCGCCACTCTCTGGTCGCACCAACACAGTATCCAACGCCGCTCCTATTGTCTGGCGCTCAGCGCCCCGCCTACTCTACTCAGCTACCTACACCTATCTACGTTCCTGCGACGAGATCACATCGAAGTTGAAGACCAACGTACATGACATCATCACCAATGCCGACCGCCAGCATACATCAAACACGTTCTCTCTCGTCCCCTCATCACCCCTTGTCCCCCTCTGCATGCACCTCCTACCCGAAGACCACCACCGACGTCACCTGCATCCGCACGTGCTGCCCGGCTATGGTGGCCGTGCGCCCACTGCCACCGCAGTGCCCTCTCACCTCTCGGCGCCCCAGCCTGCCAGCGCTAAGCAGCGCTTCATCAGACAACGCAGCAGCGTGGCCGCATTGCCTTGGCAAGCCAGAATGCCGTCCCCAGGGGCCACACACTTTTCTTTATGGAAATGTGCCCGCTGCTGGCTAGCCTGGCCAGGCGTGTGGGGGCCCAGTAGCTTCAGTCTGGCCCCAAGTGTCTGCGCCCAGGCCCAGTTTCAGGTACTGGCCTGGGCCTCGTGCAGTTAGGCACGTTCAGGCAGCCACCCAGCCTCCAGGTGTTTGCATCATTCTCATTGGCTTGTGGTGCATGTGTGACGACAATGCTGCTTTCTCATTGGCCCGCAGCCAGTCTGTGATGTGTCAGCATCACACAGTATGTACCCAGGGCACAACCACCGGAGCCCTGGGCTAAACCTACAGCGCAGCCCTTTCTTCTGGAAGGGGCTTGAAGGCTCAAGTTGCTCTGTAACCAACTGGCGTGCTGCAACTGTCTGATACCCCACATATGAAAAATGTTGAAAGGAGGCCTCACGTGGATATTCAGGCCCGCCTTCACTTAGGGCGGGCACGAGGTTGCTGGGGGCCGCAGCCCAGAACACTTGCATGTCTGATAAGGGCCCCGCGAGGGCTCAATCCTCGCATTCTATCCCCCTTAGCTTCAGAAATCCGCTGAGATGCTTCCACGCAGGTGCTTTCCCCTTCAGTCTTCGTTCCTACTCAGCCACGATCTGAGCTGCTGTTTTGACGAGCTCCTCTCTTGTGAACCAACAACCTTCCTTTGGATCCGTATGATGCCTGAATCTGACCCGGTACTCCCTCATAGGTTTGGGCCGTCTTCCCCTGCCCAAAGGCTTGGGAACAGGCATGTCTTTATGTTCCAAAATGTCGTTGACGTCCACATGGCCAGCCATGGCTGGGGCCAGCATTGACCTTGATGGGAACAGATCTGTCTCAACGAAAGGTGCAAGTTTGGAAGCGTGAAAGACAGGGTAAGTGAACAGGCATGTCTCTATGTTCCAAAATGTCGTTGACGTCCACATGGCCAGCCATGGCTGGGGCCAGCATTGACCTTGATGGGAACAGATCTGT